CACTTTCCTTACAGGTGGCGCAAATGGTGTACTTTACTTTACTACAGATGCCACAAAAAAATTGTACATCCATAATTTATTGCGCGAACTTGCTGATATGATTCCGGTTCGATCATCTCGACTAAGTTCGAACAGGAACTACCAGCACAAGAACGCCGAACAAATATTTATTTCGGTTTACGTGAATAAGACGGAAAACGATGGTGAAAGAAGTGTTTCGGGAGTGTTATCTGATTTAAACACTATGATTATAAACAAGCAAATTACCCGTATCTCCATGGGCTCTACGACAAATGATCTGGACTCAAGTTTTGGGTTTCGAACAAATCGTAAGTTATTTTACGGCGCCTCTATAACTTTCATTGTTAATTCTTATTTGGTTTCACATAACTTAGCGAATCTGTGGGAAGTGAACAATGTAAAATTAATCGTTATATTCGTGGCTGTCGCATTATACGTTTTAATTGTCATATTGACGCCAAAAAAAGACCCTGGAGTAAGATTTTGAATTATTATTATTATTATTAATTTTTTTTTTTTTTTTTTCCAATCATTGTGAAATCGAGGATGGAGTTTTACTAAAATTTTTTAAAATAACAGCGCAAAATTTTTGCGATCCTTCAGTTCAGCACGATCGTCGTTAATTTTGTTCTCGTGGTTTTTTTCGTTGCTGGAAATTCGAGTGATATCCCATCACTTTTTATACCAAGGTATAATTTTAATAAGGATTATAATTGACTTGCTTTTAAAAAATTATTCTCATTTCATCATTATTGACTTGTTTTCATTTTTTTAAATATATACATATATATATATACTTGACCGTCAAAGTGTGATCTTTCTAGTAACTTCACCAGTCATGAACGCCACTTTAATTATATGCACCATTTTCCGGGGAATTCACAGTCCGAAATATTATAAATGGCTTCGTAGAAACACCAAAGTCAAGTTTTTATTACTTGTTAGTGCGATGGTTGATGTTAAGGCACTTTTAATTTTTCAGACAAATTTTAGAGGGTTCATTCCATTTTCCAAAAATGCGTTGCCAAAAATACTTTGGGGATTTTATGCTAATATTTTTTTCAGCAATATTCCGTATTTGATTATTCAGGTGAGTTATTGTGTCTACTCTTGTAATTGATTGATTACTCGTGACGTTATTAATTATCATGAATACTTTCTATTAATAGGTCATTTATTATAGACTTGTAGTAACATATAGCTTAATGCCCTTTCTCTTACTAATATCATCTTGCCTGTCGCTCCTCTTTAATATTATTTACTATTTACATTTAAAAAAGAATTTTCCTTTTCAGACAACAGAACATATCACAGCATCAACCGACGATGTATCTAATGGATTAAATTCAACCCGTAATTTAGGGACGTCGAATTTCCCTATAAAAAGAAATTTAAATAGAAGGAACTCCGTATAGACTTAATTATGTTTAATATGAATGAAAATTTCTTGATAAAAATGAAATTGATTTTACTTGAACCAATATTTTCCTTCACTCACATCCCTTGGGTGAGGTTTACTGTACGTATACGTATTGGACGATTGTCACGTACACTGTACTGTACTCTGATAAATTGCTTTTACGATTTGTTCATAAAAACCTGATGAAGTCCGAGTTATAAAAAGTAAAAAAATATAATTTAGTTTACCTTATAGGATATTTGGTAATTTGATTTACTGCAATTTTGAATTGTGAATTAAATATTATTCATATAAAGGTACAGTATTATGACTGACTTATATTATGACGCGCTAGCTGGCATTATAAAAATCCGACCAAAGTGCGTTGTAATATCCATGTAAAGAAAGGAATATTTGTGTCATCATTGTAGCAATAATATTGTTCCTGGATTTTTGAATAATACTTATCGAAGTGCATACTCAGTTTCAAGTTTCACATTTCTCGCTAGAATATAAATTGAGCCCGCATTTTTTATGCCAGCGGGAATTTTTTTTTTTAGCAATATTCACAATACACCTCCTTCATGAAGTCATTTACCCAATATTTCATAAAACTCCACCCTCCTTAGCTTTCCCATCGTCCCGAGGAAATTCTAAAAAATCTTTTATTCTTGTAGCTATTCCGGTGCAAAATGTAGTCCCCTCATCTGTTCGAATATGTTGTTCAACTTTATTCGGTTAATAACATCAAGGCTATTGACACTCTGCTCTCAAGATCTCAGATGAAGGCAAGCGTCAATTACTCGAATTTTGAAATTTATTTCGTTCAGACAAAATTCCTTTTTACACATATATATATCCTTCGATGTTGAAAGAGTTGATTAAACTTTGAAATCTTGGGAATTTTTTGATCGGTGTAGAAAGAACTGTATGTTGAACTTCACAGTACCATTCCAAAGGCACTACTGGAATCACTCGCGAATAAAAGGAATTAAAACTTGGTTATTTTGCGATGAAAAAAGTTCTCGGCTGAATATATCTATGATGACCTGAAACTGGTTAATATACCGTATGCTGGGTGGGAGACTTGATTGTAGATGTGAAAGGAATATGGTTTAGACTTGGTAAGAGCTGTCCTTGCCTTTGCAGTAACCTTGACAGTGTCAAAATTTATATCTCCATACACTTACAATGCAATTTAATATTCGTATCTCACTTATACACACTCACATCCACTTATCAAAGTTTACCTCTATGAAACCCATTTTAAGTCAACCGACCCGACTAGATGTAGAAAAATCGAAATCCCTGACTTTACACCGATTCCTATAACCTTCCTATTATAAAAGAATTTGTTGAGTGGGCCAAAAGCTCTAAAATGAGAGGAAATTGAAGATCGATTAGGTTGGAATTTAAATTTCTACTTGAGACATTCGTTTCATTGCCTTAATTCTCTCTGCAACATGCAATCAATTTAAAAGAACCCACCAAATCATTTACTTTCTAGATAATCTTTTGGTTTTATTGATTTTGTTTGTTTTTCTTGATTCTTTCGTAGTCACGCAATCCGATCCGAGATAACGACAGACTTCTGACAGCCCAGCCCCAATTATACTGTATATTAGCATAGCGTAATAAAACGTATTGCAATGTTAATAATGAAAATAATGCCCCGTACAATAATAATTGTAAAACATTAATATTATAGAACCCATTTCATTTTGATTCTTCAAATGCTATATGATGAATAATATTGCGGGCTAAACGGCAAGCATTTCGCTAATCATCAAAGTTCACGTAATCTGCGATACATACACACAAAGCAACAAAGCATAGGACAGATGCGATATTGCGACATTCAATAATCTTCTTTGCTATCGTTTTATTAAAATCGTCGTACACCACAAAAGGACTAAAATCCTTATTCATGATATATTTGACTATTACCTAATATTGACATGATTATTAGCCTCGCGGCTATTATGTTATATGATGTGATAGTGGGTGACTATTATTATTATTATTATTATTATTATTATTATTATTATTATTATTATTATTATTATTATTATTATTATTATTATTACGTATGTTGTTGTTGTTGTTGTTGTTATTTTACTTTTGCACCTAGTTAAGTCCATGAATTTCTGGCGAAGTTATTGTGGTGGACACACTTCGAGCTCATTACGTTGGTAAATGTCGCAATTGCAAGATCTCCATTCACGTGAATTGATCCAAATGACCCAAATCGTAGTCTTGTGGCTGTAAACTGGCAGTTCAGTTAGACCATAAAGGGTTTAAGTCCGAACCTTATTGCATATGTAGCCAATAAAATCTTACATTATAATAGGTCAATAAATCGTTTATAAATGATCTCCATTGGAGCTCGATCATTTGATTAAAAAATGACTCTCGAATTTTTCGATAAGTTATCCCAGGACTACACTGAACTTCTCAATGATAAAACGTATAACGATGTAATTGTTGAAGTTGGTGAAGGCTATGATAAGAAGTCATTTACAGCTCACTCGGCAATATTGCATTACCGATCTTCTTATTTTCGTGCGGAATTATCCAAGCTTTCAACAAACAGGATTAAAACAATTTCACTACATAACAAACTGTCGCATGTTTTCGAAGCTATTCTTAAGTAAGCTTTTAATTTGCATTTCGTATTATTAATTAGCATTTAATAATTAAACTTATTTATATTCGCAGATATATTTATGGAGGAATTGTAAATCTAGAAAAAGTAGACAGTTCGTTTCTATTCGATTTAATGATATACGCTGATGAGATGGAGTTAGAAGAATTGTCCAAGCAGCTCGAAACTTATATCATCAAGAACAATGCTTCTTGGTTGCGTACACACTTTTCACTAGTCTATCGTTCAGTATTCAAAAGCAATCGCTTTGGGGAGTTGGAAAAATTTTGCAACGACATTATAGCCAAATACCCTAACATTGTGTTTGATACTGAAGATTTTACTTCTCTTCAAGAATCAGCCTTGATCTCTCTCATTAAACGGGACGACCTGCAGATGGAAGAGATTAAGATCTGGGAAAAGGTTATCCAATGGGGAATTTCAAAGAATCCCTCACTACCTTTGGAACTTAAAGAATGGTCAGAGGAAAATTTCTCGACTTTAAAAACTACTCTGCAACATTGTTTACCTCATATTCGTTATTTTCAATTTCCTGCTGTCGAACTTTTTAAAAAAGTCAAACCATATAAGAAAATTCTTGAGGAAAATCTTTGGGATGATTTGAATCAGCATATAATACTTCCCAATGAACCAGTACAGTCAACTATTCTACCAGCAAGGAAAGGCAAAGACACGGAGTTACCTTCACGAAACATACTTTCCACTATATTTAGGAAGGTCTTTTTTTCCACTATAATTAGTAAGGCGCATGTCGCAGAAATTTCTTCTTGGATAGATAGGAAAGACACGATATATTCAGAAGGAAATATCCCCTACAGATTCAAATTAATTTTGAGAGGAAGTCGGGACGGCTTTTCTCCTCAAACTTTTTGGGACACATGTCATGGCCATGTAAAAACGGTGATGGTTTTAAAAATGGCCGAAACCCAAGAAATTCTCGGTGGATACAATCCCGTGGCGTGGGATAAAACAACTTTTAGTGATGGTTCTTATATGGGATCATGGGTGCATACCAATAAGAGTTTCATTTTTTCATTGAAAAATGGAAATATCTGCGAATCAATTGTTAGTCGAGTAAAGGCACCGGATAGAGCTATTTATAATTACTCTTCTAACTATCAGAACAAACGTGGTCCTAACTTTGGAGGAGTGTTGTATATGGCGTCGGATGTGTCTGATTTTACCCTAGACAAACAGTGTCGTTACCTCAGATATGCTAATTGTTATGAAAAAGCTATTAGAACGACGAGCGATCACTTTTCCATCGTCGACTACGAAATATTTCAAATTGTCAGAATTACCGAGTAATCTGTATTCCTTTAGATGATACCTTTGCGTGAATCACTCTGCAGAATTTTGATGGGCATATGTAAAGTTATGATAGATGAATATTTGAAAAATTTTCCAAAAATTTTTTTTTTTTTTTTGTATTTTGTTTCTTATAAGCAGTTGAAATAATATCTAAATTTTAATGGCGCAGAAATTTTTGAAAATTATTTTTTAAACAAACAGAATAATTTGACAAATATATGTTATATATAAAATTACATTACTGAAATTCATTTTTAAAGAATTTATTAATCCCCAATTGTGTTCAGGATAAATATTTTAATCTTTATTTTTATTAAAAAAGTCCTTTTTCTTATTTTGAGTTTGAATTTTTTTTATTGTTTGGTATTTGTTACAATTTATTGATCAAAAATCAAAATCGAGTAATACCTTTTCAGTTGGTAGAGAAGGTAATCCAATTTGCATATATCTGATCTTGAAAAAAAAATTTTTTTTTTTTAATAAGGATCATTAATAAACAATTTTATTAAAAATCACTATAATAATAATCCAATGACAGTAATGTTGTTAATTTCTTTTAAAAAAATAAATCATATCATCAGAGCATGTTTTTATTGGAACATTAAGCAAATATCTAATGTTTTTATTAACTTTTTTCTATAATAACCAACATGTTATTACATATTATTAATTGAAGAACTATGCTATTTAAATATAAATAGTATATTAAACTAATTTGAACTAAAAAAAACAAGAACTAATTAGATATCTTAAATCAAATTTAAAAAATAATATGCTATTTTTTTGATAAATACTTAATTTCTACCTACTAAAATTTTTACAAATAGGTTATTATTATGGATTATCTTAAAAAACAATAATTTATTAAATAAAGAATTAGAAAAAAAATGTATCAATTCAAAACTTCTTTAAAAAATTTTTAATAATATTATTTTTTTACAGTAATTGAGAGCTACCTAATTGAAATATTCTTTGACTTTTGATTATCTAAAAATTTAATTATTTCTAAATAATAAAACTTTTTCAAAAATATTCGAAAAGCTTATTCTTTAATATATAATTTATTTTTTATTAATACATATATTAGAATAGTACTATATATTTATTAATTATAAAAAAATAATTGAGATACATAAGATAATTGTATAATATTTAAACTACATATTATACTAACTCACTTGGTAACAGCTTTTATTTTTCAAAAAAACTTTAGTCTTTAAGTGTAATCTTGAAAACAATATTTTACTTTATAATAAATTTTGAGTAAATACTTTTTAAATTTAGATATTATTGCTAATAAATTGTTGTTATTTATATATATATACAACTTTTAATATATAAATTTATTTATTTTTTTTTTATTTTTTTTTATTTTTTTTTATCCCACAATCATACTATAATGGCTTATCTTTATTGAGAAATTAAAATAAAATCTACAATAGTTTACAGACTTTCATAAAATGACTAACTCATCTTTATATATATGTATTTTAAGTCAAATTTTGATAACAATATTATATATCTTAATAGATGGGTAATAACTTCTATCTACTATGATTATTGTCAATAGTTTGTCACTATTGATTAACTTAAAACTAAAGAATTGTTAAATTAAAATAGGAAAAGGGAAATGGAAAAAAAATTGAATAAAGAAAATAATTTAAAGTTTATCAAAAAAATCTAAAATAAAAACAATCTCTTTCTAAAAAGAATTTATCTGATTGTGATAGTTTTTTTACTTTACTTGAACATCAGAAGAAATCTTCTTTTTTATCCCTTATGATATCAAACAAGTCAATTCAACTGATTTTTTATTTAAGTGAACATCAAATTGGAATATCTCAGGAAAGCATTTAGATTTTGGTTTTTTTTTATTAAAGCTTTGTCACTACTTGAAAAATTTAAGTAAGAGATATGATTTTGCAATATTGGGTTACAAAAGTATAAGAAATAGCAACAAATTCAACTTTGAATCAATTCCAAAAGTTTGGGAAAGTAGGAGAAGGTTCCTGGAGTAAGCAACAAATTAAACAAGTGTTATTAATATAAGAAGGATAAATTTGATTGATATTGATGTTTGGATATACTTTGTGGAAAGTATCATGTATACTATTAGTAATAAAGTGATTTTTTAAACTATTCATATAACAAAATTCAAACCCTTTGCTAGACTTTGGATTCCCGAATCACTTCACAAGTGAATATCTCCAATACTGAGCAAGGCTTCCTGATTGTTCCCAGAGAATAGTTTACAGAGTAGTGAATCTCACA